AGGAAGGAAGGAAGGAAGGAAAGAAAGAAAGAAAGAAAGAAAGAAAGAAAGAAAGAAAGAAAGAAAGAAAGAAAGAAAGAAAGAAAGAAAGAAAGAAAGAAAGAAAGAAAGAAAGAAAGAAAGAAAGAAAGAAAGAAAGAAAAAGAAAGAAAAGGAAGGAAGGAAGGAAGGAAGAAAGAAAGAAAGGAAGGAAGGAAGAAAGAAAGGAAGGAAGGAAGGGAGGGAAGGAAAGAATAGAAAGATCCTGCAAAAACTACATGGGTTTACTTGTTTCATGTTTGTTTCTCTGGATTCTAGACTATTAACAGAAAACTTCTTCCCTGAATCTATGAAATTTTTTAAATAAACGAAACCTCAGAGAGTCTCAGCCAATTCCAAAAGTAAAAACGAATGTGACTTGGACAGCTTTAGAAACTAAATCTGCCAGTAAGCTCTGATTGTAACATCTCTTTTTGTCAATTTGTCTTTTCTTTCCATTCCTATATTTAGAAACCTACTATCAAAGTGGTAAACAGGATTTTACATTGTTGGTGTATTTGTAACCAATCAAGAAAACCTTTTGTTTGTTTAAGTTTCTACATGATCATGAGTTCAAATACATTAACAAACATTTTGGTTCTTGAAACATGCTATTATATCTCTACAAAAGGACACTGGACCAAGTGTTCAGAATTCAGCATAATAGAAAAGTTTATAAACTATACCTTTTTTAGTTGTTTTACAAAATGTCATTTAAAAATTATTCCATGTGATTCCATTTATCCAACAAATTACAGAATTAAAAGTGCAACTATTTTATGCAAATATAAGTATTGCTGAGAGGTAGCTTGGAATACAGAAGTGGTTCTCAAACTTTGTGGTCTCAGGACCCCTCTACAGCCTTAAAAATTATTGAGGACTTCCTTCAAGGGCTTTTGTTTATTTGAGTTATATCTATCAATATTTACCATCTTCATATTATTAAGAAAATTGTTTTGATCACACAGACCCCCCAACAGGATCTGAGATGCCTCAAGTCTCCCCAGACTACACCTTGAGAACCATTGGGGTTGATAGAGAGTAGAGAAGCAACCTTAGAATCAGGAAGACCTATGTTCAAGTCCCTTCTCTGATACATAGGAGCTGTATGACCCTGAACAAGTCACTTAACCACTCAGTGCCCAACGAACTTTCTAAAACTTTAAGTTGTCAAGCAAGTGCCAATCCACACTGGGACAGTTTCCACATTGGGAGTTCCATATACAAATGAAATTACAGGGCCAGTCCCACCTCCACCTCCCCAAAAAGGATTTCTATCAGGAATATTTTTGCTGTGCACAATTTGTGCATACATTAATATTACAATCTTATAAGATAAATAAAATTTATTCTTATAAAAAGAACAGGAACAGGCATCCAAATCAGAAACAAATATTTCCTTGGATACTCACCTCTTCCTAATTAATTCATTTGGTTAATCCTTTATGGCATAAACCCTTTTCTAGTTTCATTCCAATTGTAGGACAGTTAAAAAACAAACACCATCTCCTTTTTTGCTCCCTAAAAATGCCTTTTCATATTAGGGTGAAGAATACTGAAACTAGGTATTTTCCTCTATAAAATTAAATCTTCACTTTGGAAATTTCTTCAAAAATGTCTTCAGCCAACCCAATATTGTTTACATCATCAGAACATACCTGGACATGTCCCCCAAAGGTATCGTAGTTGAAGAATTGACATTGGTTGTCAGCATAGCAGGAGGCTTCCATCTCTCCTCTGATCACCACATTTCGGCTAAGAACTCCAACCTCAGCCCGCATATCCACTCCATCAACTATCTCTCCCATGTGCAGAAACTTAGGGGTTTCTATTTGGTGGATCCAGTGAAAGCAAACAAGAATGAATGAATGAATGAATGAATGAATGAATGACCATTTATTAAGTACATATTATGTACTAAGCACTGTGCTAGCTGCTGGTGACATAACTTCTAAAAAAAAAAGCAAGATGGCTTCTGTACTCAAGGAGCTTATACTCTATCTAATTGGGAGAGACAACATAAAAAAAAAATCAGCTGTAGCACAGATGGAAAGGCATAGAATTCCTATGCGGGCAGTGGTAGATTGGCTGGCAAGGAATACTTAGGTTACGTAAGTAATTCAGATGATAAGTGCTGAAGGGGGAATGAACAAGCATTTATTAAGTACCTGCTATATGCCAGCTACTGTACTAACTGCTTTACAAATATTATCTCATTTGATCCTCACACAACAACCCTGGGAAGTAGGTGCTATTATGATAGTCATTTTACAGATGAGGAAACTGAGGCAGTCAGAGGCTAAATGTCTTACCCAGGGTCATATAGCTATTATGTGTCCGAGGGTGGAGTTGAACTCAGATCTTACTGAATTCAGGCCCAGCACCCTACCCACTGCACTACCTTGCTGCCCCTTTGGGGACAGAGGCAGGGCAGACAGTAGAGCCTCATGGTCCTCTGCCTCACTGGAAGGAACTCAATTGTCTCCCATCTCATCCTAGCCCTGTGAGCAGTCAAGCAACCTGAGTAAGGGGGGAAGGCAAAAAGGGAGGGAGTCCCCAGTCAAGGTGGGTCTTACTCTCAGCCAAGCTGCCCTGGATAAACAGAAAATAAGGACCTGGTATATTAGCAGTCATTTAAATGCTTATTGAACTCTTACCTGCAGAACCCAAACAGTTAAAACTTTCTACATCCTTTACTCTCTCCCTAGCACAACATTGGATATGCTGAATGCATGAAACCGAAAACATGCACAGCAGGTATTTCTTTAGACGTGGGGGCGTGAGGCTGTTTTGTTTCCACATTATTGCGAAAACACATAAACAGATAGAGCTCACACAGCATGGTGTATGCTTAACAGCTGATTCCCTGATATACAAGCCTTCCTGACCATTTGTAACAAACACGGACAAACCGGGGGGGGGGGGGGGGAGAATTAAAACAAATGCGGCAGTTTATCATTTCTCTACCACTTAATATTTTAATATAGTACTCCTTTCACTTTTATACCTTACTAAAAAGTGCTTATCTCTGCTATCCATTTCACAAAATCAGGAAGGAAAAACAAATAAATCATGGAAATTGAGAATATTTTAAATAAGTCACAAGAGTGGCAATTTCCAAAAAATCTACACCAGATGGTATCGTGAATTCTCCCTTTGTGAACTCTGTTTGCCCTACTTGAAGCACTATCAAGAAGAAAAAATACCACACTAAAATATGAAAAATGAAAAAGCTATGATTTAATGTTCCTATTATCTTAAAAGATAGGTATACTCCTTTTAAATTAAAAATCTCAGTGGATAGGGTGTCAGGCCTGGAGTCAGGAAGATGAGTCTTCTTGAGTTCAAATTTAGTCTCAGACACTAGCTGGGTGAACCTTTGCAAGTCACTTAACCTTGTTCGCCTCAGTTTCCTTATCTGTAAAATGAGCTGAAGAAGAAAACAGCAAACCACTCTGGTATCTCTTCCAAGAAAATCCCAAATGGTGTCATGAAGAATCAGATATAACCAAAAACAACTAAACAACATTCATTTTAAAAAATGTATTTTTTTAAATTGAGTGCTATAACTTCCCCAAGGTCATATCATTAGTGATAAAGCTAGTACTAGAACTCAGGTTTCCTGATCAACAATCCAGTGTTCTTTTTCCTATACCTCCAGTTTAAAACAATAACAACAACCAAATAAATGTATACCAAAATCTTAAGGACTCCAGATGACAAAATCATAGGATCATAGATGTAAAGGGGGAAAGGTCTTCAGAAGTCATCTAATCCAACCTCCTAACCTTGCAGATGAGGAAACTAAGGCCCAGGAAGATTAAATTGGGAGGTTACAATTGGGTGGTTAAAGGACTTCCCTAAGGTCATACAGAGCTGGGATCTGAACCCAGGCCCTCTGTAAGTAAAGTGAATTTTAGTGTGTGTAAGGAGGATTTTGTTATTATGTTTAGATAATATTTCCGGGATCCTAATGGTTGAAAATGATGGTTGAAAACATCTCCACCATGCTTACGTGGTGAGATACAGGGTGACATAGTATATGCCTGCGCTGTGCTAGGTCATGACGATATTGCTAAAGTTAACCTGTGAGCTTTATGTTAGTAAGATGCCTTCTTTGTTTGTTGCCCTATAAAGCAAGTGGGCACTGGTCAGTAAGGGGGGAACGCATTTTGGGGATTTGGGTAATGCATAAAGGAATGCATGTGCCTGCTATGTTCGGCCCCCATTAAAGCTTAGGGGATCCTACAGGAGATGTACTCCTATTCTCGCCTGCCCCTGCAAGAAATGTGCTTAGGGAATGCTGTAGGAGTTGGTGCTCCCATTATCAGCAACCCTATTGAGAAGACTAGACTAGAATAAAGTAAGCTTATTTAATCCCTCCAAAGCTGTCTTCCTGTCTGACTGGATCAAAAATGAACCTGTGCTAGAACTAACCTGTTAGTGGTAGGAGCCCTCCTGCATTCTCCTGCCCAACAAATGGCGTTAACTGTCAAACACCTTCCATTGCCTCAAGGGCCAATGCTATTTCCACTCTACTACAAAGCCAGAACTTAATGAATTCTGTGGCAAAGATCTTGTCACTAGGTGAAATGACTCATAAATAAGGAGAAAAATTACAAAAAAATGAGGATCTGGGCTAAAAAAAATTCTCTGTTTCAAATTAAGCATACTGGGCATTGATTTTGTACCTCTGACTTTGACCTCATAGCTGTTGCATTCAGGACAAGGAAGAAGAGTAAATTCCTCTGTTTGGTACATTGAATAGTCTGTGCTTGCAACCACAATCTGGTCTCCAGGTTTCCAGTTGCTGACATCATCCACCAGATGTAGCTTTACTCCATCTATGGCCTCTACCTGGAAACCTGAAAGGGATACCCCTAAAGCAACAAACAGCAAATTTTAAAAGTATGTTAGCATGGAATTCTACTTCCTAAAGTCACATCTCCACCACTTGTTCAACACCTGAGTTCAAGATAAAGTCACTTCAGTAAATTATTCTTTAGTGCACTTTTATATATTTTTGTACATTATAGTGATATATGTTCCATATTCCTCTGCTAGTCTGCAAGATCTCTGAGGATAGGAACCATAGTTGATTTGAACTTTGTATCTGTCCTAATACCCAACACAGTGTTCTGAACACAAAGGATCTCATAAGTGTTTATTGAATTAAATATATAAGAAGTTTGGGGGTTTCCCCCCCAAATCCTTGCTCATCTTCAAAGATGACACTTTCAGTTCCCCTCTGAAAATTAGAATATTATCATCTTAAGATCTAATGTGAATGTGCCAAAGCCAAGAAGTTAACTGCCTACTATAGAAAAAAAAAAACGTAATAAATGAGGTGCCAATCCAATTGGCAAAGATAGTTTCTTAACTCAGAATTTCCTATGTCAATGAAATGATAGGCCTGATATTATTATTATTATTATCATCATCATCTTTATCATCATGATCATCATCATTTTAACATTCTGATTTTAAATGTGCAAAATATTTTATTTTGAGCCTCATCACAAACCTGCAAGGTATCACAAGTATTATTATTCCTGTTTTAAAATGAGAAGACTGAGACTCAGACAACTAAATGATTTGCCCATGATCATTCAGCTAGTAAGTATCAGAGGCAGGATTTGAAATCGGGTCTTCTTAACTCCAACTCCAATGTACTTATTATGATTATCCAGTATACCACATAAGAATAAGCGACATTATATCTTATTCTACTCAGGAACCTCTTTTTTTTCTTCATAGATCTCTGAATATGTGAATTGAATGTTTCATAGCCTTACCTGGTAATAATGTAATTTGCTCTCTGTAAAGCACTTTACGAATTGCAAAGTATCTTTTAAATACATTATTTCATTTGATCTTTGCAATAGTCCCATGAAGTCAGTACTTCAGGTGCCTATTTCCTTGTCCTCTTTAAACTGAAGTTTTCCTTTATGAATGATAAAATTTCTATAGGAATTTAAATTTCAAGGCACAAATTAGACCAAGCAGTATCAAAATATGAATAAGCTCTTCCAGTTGAAATTGTCAAGAGCTTTTAAATCTTGCGATTATTGCCTAGATCAGAACCCAACTGGAGCAAGATATACCATGTCATCTCAAGGAAGTGTGATTCATGAGTATTGTTACTGCACACTAATCTCTCTTCCGGTAAATGACAATAAGCTGACGTTCTAGGAAGAGGATGCCTGTCAGAGAGGGCAGGTAGTCAAATCAGATTCTGAGTGGCTGGAACTATGGAAATCATTTCACATGGCATGAAGCACGCAGATATTCTTAGGCCCAAAAGAAACTATCTTGATTAAATGTAGTATATACGAACTTTGAGATGTAATCCCTTTAGCCACGTGCTTCCTTATCTGTCTACCTCATTGAATGGCTACAGAAAGAACACAATGAAATTTAAAATATTTCCTGCCAGCCATACAACATGTATCTGAGACTAAGGGACTGAGTTACAAGATAGACTTTTGTGTTTTTTTGCCTCAAAGTCAAACCCAACCTGGTGACTGAGAAAGTGGAAAAGAAATCCCATACTAATAATAATCACCAATATTTAATATCCAGATTATAAATAGAAAAAATGTTCCCTAATCACTCCAAGCTGAGAAACATGAAGGTTCTTTAAAATGACTTTGACGGTCATAGGATTTAGAGTTCAAAGGGAGCTTAGAAATTATCTAACTGGACTCCCTCAGACTTAAAAGGGGGAAGTGACTTCCCAATTACAAAGTGCCATTTATAGCTACTAAGTAGCAGAACTAGAATTCAAACCCAGCATTCTTTCGATGATATTGCACTTGAACTGGAATGGTCATTTACATTTTTAGATACCTAGTTTTGGTAGGGAAAGGTGAAAAGTTTCCCAGTGCAGATCGAGGAGTGGGAGGGGTTAGAAAGGGGCAGGGGACAGGAAAAACTGATTGAGGAGGTTTAACATCATTCAGCAATTTGTCAATCTTAGGCCTTAAGGAGAAAACCCTGCCTGGAACTATGTCCTCTTGGCACCTCCGCACGGAAGGAAGGCAGGAAATGGAATTCATTCTCCTTGTTTCCTGAATAGAATTTCCACCTCTTCCAGAAAATAAGAGTCATGGAGAATGTAGAAAACAAAACAACACTCTATAATAGATGATATTTTGATAAACAGAAGACTTCAGTACAACCAGGGTTTAAATTTCTTTGGATTTGACATAGCAGGATTGCTACCCACAGAGAGGATCATGTGAGTTTATGCTTCAAGGCATGATTTTATACTCAATAAGGCAGGGTGGGGAGGAGGAAAATTCCAGACTTAAGCTTTACACGATCAAATGAATGGAGACAGAGTACTCAGAGGACAAGAGGCAGTTATTTTAGCTAGAATATAAAATATATTCCAGGGACAAATGATAGCATATGAATATTAAGGGAATATTTTTGTGCCAAAATAAATAACAAAAGGGATCATTTCAGAGAAACCTGGGCAGACTTGTTTGAACTTCTACAGAGTGAAGTGAGCAAAACCAGAAGAACAATTTGAACAATAAAGGCAAGGGGAAGGGGGAAGTCCAAGGGCTAATAGGAAATAAGACTGGAAAAGTTAGGATGCACCAGATTGCAGAAGCCTTGAATACCAGATAAGACACTCTAAACATAACTTGATAGGCAAAAAGGAACCAGAGATTTTTGAGCAGAATAGCAACATCTGAAGATCTATATATAAAGAAAATTAGCTTGGCAACCAAACAAAGGATGAATTGGAAGGTACAGAAAGCAGAAACAGAAATAGCCATCATGAAACTCTTATTTTTGTCTATGAGTGTGCTAATGTGGGTGGTGATAATGAAAACAGTGGGGAAGGGAGAGATGCAAGAAGTATCACAAATTGGCAGATAGTTTCATGAGTTATTTTAGTCAAAAGAATTCATCCTCTAACTTTCTAGTGATAAATCTCTTCACGGTTAGCTAGCCTAGTTGTCCAGGGACAGTTACAACAAACTATTAGGTATCGTATAGAAGTCTTCCCAATTAGGAGGACCTGACAGAATTTGCATTCCACTGGTTTAATCTGAAAAGACCAGGGTCACCTTCTCATCACCATCAGATGTCCTAATAGGACTTTAGTGGAAGTAAATCAGTCTCTAGGCTGGTAGGAATGTGATTAGAGTTTAATATACCACCACACAAATGTGCACGTGTACACAGTACACAGTTAAGTGCGACCTTTGCAGACATATTTACATAAGAGAAGCCCAATACAGTTGTGTTCATTCTTGTGTATTACATAGCACTGTCTATCCTGGGCACACAAGTGTTTCTGATGGTTGCAGGCATAGGAGATATTTTTAATCCAGAATCAAATCTTGCTATCAATGGGTCTAGATTTCCAAAGAGTTAGCTACCCACTGTAATGTGGGTGAAAGACATAACTCCATACTAAAAGGTCGGATTGGTTCTATCCCTCCTACCATATGGACCTGTCCTCAGATTCTACTGCACTCAACGTATTTGATTTTTCAGGTGGGAAAGATGCCAAGCGATGATGGTTTGCCTGACACCATTCTACTCCAGGTTTCTCTGGAATAAATTTACTACCCTAAAACCTTCTCTCATTCTGTGAGTGGTAAAAGTTAACCCTGGGTTTCATGTAAGCAAAAAAAAGAAATGAACCATCTGTCACAAGAGTGACCAATATCTCATAAGAGTGTGAGTTGTACTTTCCTACCTTCATTCCATTCACTATAAGCTGTTACAGCAAATTTCTGACCATCAACTGTGAAAAATTCTCTTTGGGCAAGAGCCTTCCCTCCACTGCTGTGATTTTCATAATTCCTCACTGATTCGTTGCAAGAGGCACTTCCACCACCAGTGACAGCAACCAAAGCCCAAGCTTGCCTGGGAGGAAAAAATATGTTAAAATAGAATGTTGTAAACTAAGAGAAAAGAGATTAAGATGTACTTTCCATTATCATTAATATTAGCATAATAAATTGCCACCACCACCTTTTTATTATAATATACTCAACCCATCCAAGGCAGGGTAGAATCATAGACTGAGCTCAGACCTGAATTTAGGTCTCATCTCTGACAAATATTGGCTATGTGACCCTAAGGAAATCATTTTACCTCTCAGTGTCCCCAAGCAATGCCCTAAGGCTATAAATTGCAGAATAGTTGTTGATCTGCATTGGAGGTGAAAGTTTCTTCACCAAAGAGTGACTATCAACGAAATAATAGTACCAATCTTTTTTTAAGCCCACATAAGCAAAGAAATGGAAAATAAAGGAGATGCCCATCTTTTACAGGAAGCCTTCCTAATCACTCTTATTTCCAGTGCTTTCCCTCTTTTAATCATTCCTATTTGTCCTGTACATAGCTTGCTCTGTATATGTTTGCTTGCATATTGTTTGCCCCATTAGATTGTAAGTCTCTTGAGGGCAGGGACTATCTTTTGCCTCTTTTTGTATCCCTATTGCATAGCACAGTTGATGGAACATGGTAGGCACTTAAAGAATGTTAACTGAATTGAATTGGGAAAAGACTAAGTAAATTGTGGTACATACATGTAATTGAATATTATTGTGCTTTAAAAAATGTATGATGAACATGAAGAAGTATGGAAAGACTTACAAGAACTAATGCAAAGTGAAATGAGCCCAGTAAGGAAAATAATATGCATAATGACTAAAAAACAAATGGTAAGAACCACCATCACAAAAGTTGAATGTTGTGAAATTATAAAGAATAAGCTTGTCCTCAAAAAAGAGGATACGAGAAAAAACCTCCTACACTTCTTTGCAGAGGGCAACATGCACAGATGTGGAATATTAAATATACTATCAGATTTTTTCTTTATGTTAATTTTGCTAAAAAAATTCTGCTTTTTCTTTTGTTTTTTAAGTATTCTTTGTTATAAAGGATGGTTCTCTGAGAAGGAGAAGGGCACAGGGAAACAAATATATATATACACATATATACATATATATATACACATTATATATATATACATATTTTTAAACCCACATACACATACATCCAATACCCATGTCTCTTTGTCCAAATGCCTTTGAGTTTGTAATTCCAGACCATAACTAAAGAAACAAAGATGAAAAAAAAGGAAAGGTATGCTCCTTTACAGACTTGTTTGCCTAGCTTGGCAACAGGTAAAACAATCTTGACAGGTTCTTCACTTAATCATTTTCTCCCCTTATCAAAACATATCCAGTAGTGTACACACACACACACACACACACACACACACACACACACAACTTGGCAATAAATCATGTTCTTTTCTTTCAAAAAGAATAAATTAATCTTTCACTAGGATTCCTTGCAATAGTGATCTTTAAATCACGTTTAGACATCTCAAAAGAAGTTGGAGGTTTCCCTAATCGTGGTCTTGTTTTTATACTTTGTATTTACTCTGCACTTAAGTGTGCATACACTGTTTTCTTTGAGAAAACACAAGATCCTTGAGAACAGGGGCTTTTCATTTTTGTTGTTTTCTCAGCCACTGACAGTTTCAGAGATAGGGATTAGACCAATATTTCACTGACATAAAGAACTGTGATATGAGAAAACTCCCTCTACCCATGTAGGTCTTCAAATTACAATCTTAAAAAATTGCCTAGAGAAAGGAGAGGTTTAGTGACTTGCCCAGGGTCACACAACCAGTATGTGTCAGGAGGGATATGAACCAAATTCTTTCTGATATAAAAGCTGACACTCCAGTTATTATGCCAGGCTACCTCTCACCTGGAAACGGGCAGTGATTTTACAAATTCTTGATTATTGACCAATACATTCCTAGGTTTGTTAGCAAAAGGATTTTTAAACGGCCCACACTGAAAGTTTATTTAATGAGGGATTTGTTTTAACTTGTATCAGGACTGTGCTGTATTTCAGTGATTCTCTCTGGCATAGAACAAAAGTCTTAGCTGTCTCAGTCACATATGGGGGACAGTTTAGGGGAGGAAAGTCTGTCAGTCTATCAGACTACTAGTTTCAAGAATGAAAAGAAAAACCTCCAACTTCCTTCTTTCAAAAAAAAAAAAGAGCTAAGACAATCCCTACCAGACAGCTACTCTCTTTCCACTGATAAAAGTTAAGTCAAAGTAACTAAGCACACACTTTCAAAAATTCCAGACAGCCCACCGTGGATTAGCTCTGCTGCCTGATGATGTCTCACATTTCTATTTCTATCCTTTGGTGCAGAAGAAAAACACTTTAGAAGGCTGCATACAATTAATGCCTCCCATTTGCGAAGCAAGCATCAACAGTCTTTCATTTATTTACCAAAATTGTCTGTAGTCCTTACAGGACAATGTTCTATTCCACTAATGTTATCTCCTGCTTCCTCCCACTCCCCTCCCACATTTTTGTTTTTAAGGAATTTGAGGAAAATGTCATTGGACTAGAACATTATCTTCAAAGGGGGTGTGTGTTTATGTATGTAGGAGATAATGTCAAAGGAATGAAATACTGGCATGGGACCACAACTGACATCCTGCTTTCTCAATCTTAGTGTGATTATGGGGTGGGGGGTAGTGAAAGCAGTGTAAACCTTATGGAAGCCAAGGGGAGCTTAAGAGCATAGACCTAGAACTGGAAGGTATCTCAGAGAACAACCCCCTCACTTTACAGATGAAGAAACTGAGGCTCAGAGAGATTAAATGGCTTGCCCAAGATCACACTACAGCAGATAGCATCAGAAGTAGGGTTTGAGCCTAAGGCAATGCAAGAATTTCAATCAAGTTGTCTAATCACAAGACTGACAGATGATGCCACTTTAGAAACCAGAAGTAGATCATAGATTTTTATTTGGGTGCAAGGGGGAGGGCAGGTAATCAGGGCTAAGTGACTTGCCCAGGGTCACACTGTTATTAACTATCTGAGGTCACATTTGAACTCAGGGCTTCCTGACTCCAGGGTCGATGCTCTGTCCACTGAGCCACCTAGCTGCCCCTAGATTTTTAAATAATCTATCAATCAACAAGTATTTATTGAGCATTTACTAGGTGCCAAGCACTACACTAATAGGGACACAAAGGAAAAAAAACAAAAATAATTCCTGCCCTCAAGGAGCTTAAAATATAAGTGGTTGTCAGATGTGTCTTAGTAGCTTTTACATCACAATACATGAAAATGTAGGGATTATTTCTCTAACATGGGAAAATATACAATATTTACATATTACATATACTTATAGATGGCATCATTTTTTCCCTGATTTTGCGTTACTTATTGTCCATTATGCCTCTTCTAATATTTTTATAGCTGATTCAAGCACACCAAGAGGACCTCACAGGAAAGGAAAATTGGCCCATTTCAGCACTTTGGTTTCCCATTGCTATTCAAATAGTTCTGTTAGTTTCCAAAGCAGAACATTTCCTTAACCTAATAAGAAAGTACCTGGGAGATTTACCCCTACCTTTTTTTTTTTTTTTAGCAATTACTGAGGTCATCTCTGCCTTAAAAAATCATGTTCAACTAGAATGGTGGACAAGAACTCATCTGTGTGCTATCCCCTCTGAATGGGGCCTCCTCTCCAATTTCTGTTTTCCTATCACTTTCTACCTCAAATACCTCAGAGTTTCAAGAAGCTGAGCCAATCACCTGGTTCTGGTTTGTTTGGTATAAAGTAGGATCCAAATTCAGACTACAAAAACAAGAAGTAAAGTTTTATATGTACACGTCTCAGATTCTCTCTTTTTTTTTTAATACTTCATTACTTTTCAAATAACTTCCAGTTTACGTAGGAACCTCGACTTGACCTTTTAACTCACAATGAACTCCAAATTACTTACAACAGTTCAACTAAGGAGGGGTGAAAAGAGGGAGTGTCCATATGCATAATATGCACAAAATAAATTCTTTAAATAAAGTCTTTCCAATGCTGCTGCTGCTGCTGCTACTACTACTAGCTAGCTAGCTAGTATTTATATAGTGCTTTAAGGTTTTTGCAAAGCAAAAGTAACAATATTTGCAAAACAGTTTAAAAATATTACTTCTTTATACCCTCATAACAACTTTATGAAGCAGGTGCTGTTTTACTGATGAGGAAACGGAGATAGACAGATTAAGTGACTAGTCCACAGTCATACAGCCAGTAAGTATTTGAGGCTGAATTTGAACTCAGGACTTCCTAAATCCAGGACCATGACACTATATATTGTAATAGATCCCTCCATTTTAAATGAATTTTGTATAGCACGCCTCTGGAATACCAATGATATTGGTGGGTACTCTACAAATCAAAAATCAAAAAGGCTTGTATGCCAAATCTGCCCTTATAAAGAAAACAAAAGACCCAACATAGGGTCCTAAATCTGGAGATCATCTAATGCAGCTTCTTAATTGTACAGAGAAGAAAACTGTGGCTTAGAGAGGTTAAATGACTGCCATGGTCACACAGCTAGTAAAAGGTAGGATTTGAACCTAGGTCCTCTGACTTCAGATCTCGTGCCCTTTTGTTGTTGTTGTTCAGTCATTTTCAGTTGTGTCTAAGTCTTTGTGACTTCCATTTGGGATTTTCTTGGCAAAGATACTACAGTGGTTTGTCATTTCCTTCTCCAGGTCATTTTAGAGATGAGGAAACTGAGGCAAACAAGGTTAAGTGACTTTCCCAGGGTGACACAACTAGTAACTGAGGCCAGATTTGAATTCAAAAAGATAAGTCTTCCTGACTTCAGGGCCAGAGTTCTATCCACTGCTCCACCTAGCTGTCCTTTTATGAACCTTCAAATCCCTTTTCCCCCTCTTACCCTTTTATGGAAACAGCTTTTATGTAACATGGCACTGGAACTAGAAAAAAAAAATAAAAGAACAAGGTTGCGTTTACCTGTAACTCAATCCTTTGATCAGCTTACTTCCCAGAAGATTTTGGATGGTCAAGATCGTTTCTTCTAGGAGGCTTTTGACAGCTGAATCTCCAACAGCAATAGCAACAATCCGGCCAGGAGCCTGGGCTTTTAAAAACTCCTGAAGTCGCCTGCTCTCATTTTGGTACTCGTGGGTATCAAACCTATCAATCACCAAAACTTCGGCAGTGTCTTGGTCAATGACCCGCACGTTGAGACCTCGGTTAAAGGACTTTTCAAAAGTATAAGAACCAAAGGTCAGCCCTGAGGAACGCAGAGTCTTTGCTAAGAGTGTCCATGATGTTTTCCGAGCCCCATGCAACTCCAGCGTCCCACCAGCTTCCACACCAATAAACTTTTTGCCAAATGTTGGCATACTGTCACCTTCATTCGATTTGCCAAATAAGGCAATGGTCGCTTTGGATTTATAGCGGCATTTTTCTGCTCCAATATGAAGCGCTCCACCATCCTTGATCAGGATATAACGAGTCCTCAAAGTAATATTTCTGGATCCATCTTTATCATCACCAAAGACAAGTAACCCTAGGAAGGGGAAAGGTGAGGAGAAAGGAGAAAAAACACTCCTTGTGAGCTGGCAATTAAAAGTGCTTCTCTGAATTCCAAAGAAAAAATAAAGCCTCTTTGACCTTTCTGGCAAAGGGAAGACAGCTTATTAAGAAATTTATTTTAGTTTCCAAATAATTAAAAAGAGGAAATAAGCACTTTACACCTATAGTACACTAAGGTGGTTGGGATACATGTATCTCACCTCTATTTACTTTGGAGGCTACTTATTTCTTGAACTTCAAAAAGTCTATAAATCTGAAGCTCATTTAAATGTAATTTAATACCTATGTATTAATTGTGTCATTGTTGCCCTTAGAGTTGGGTCTTGTCTAACCTACCAGTTTCATTATCATCTCTACCAATGATCTACCCCTGAAATCTTCCCTATGTCTCATAGGACAGAACAACTAGTATATTCTTAGATATCATTCCAACGTACATTAAGTAAATTCCCATCATGTCTTGGAGAGATGGGTGAGAAGAAGCATAAAAGATTGTATTAGATAATAATAAATGAGATTGCTCTGTTGCTTAGTTTTTCATAGCACTATTGTCGGGTGATTTTGTTTTTTCTTTTACAAGGCAAAGCTCGTTGAGGTAGGAGAGACTGTCTCTGGAAATGACTAATGTAAAAATGAAAGTTTTAATTTAAAAAAATTACCTCAGTCTAAGAAATACCCTCAGAATATTAATCAACATTGACAAATCCACAAGGAGCAAATCTTTGTGGTACAGTTAGTTGTATACCTCCATCCTGGATGACTATGGAATTCACCGTAACATCTGAGCTTAAACGGAGCCAATCTCCTTTCTTGACAATGACTTGCTTTTCAGGATCATGTTTTAGATCCCAATTCCTGAGACGTGGGTTTTGATCTGGGCAATTTTCTGCAATAACATTCCACATTAGAATATGGTTAGAAACGGCAGCATATATTGAGCCAAAAGTCTAACAGTACACTTAATGCCATTTAATGAATATCTATGATAATTGCAATGAAATAATATCTGAATAATTCAAAGAGCTACATTAGAGATAAAAGGACCCCCTCCCACCACTTCCCTTAAAGGATGGTAGATTCAGGGAAGCTAAAATAGGGAGGAAAGTAAGGTGTCAGGTGGAGAAACAGAGAGAGAGAGTGTGAGAGAGAGAGAGGGAAGGAAGGAAGGAGGGAAGGAAGGAAGGCAAGGGAGAAGGAAGGGGAGGAAAAATGAAGGGAGAAGGAAGGAATGAAGGAAAGAGAAGAGGGAAGGAAAGGGAAGGGGTGAAGTGAAGGGAAAGAAGTAGGGAAGGGAAGAAAAGGAAGAGGGGAAGGAAAGGGAATGAGGAAAGGAATAGAGAAGGGAGGAATGGAAGGAAAAGGGAAAAGGAAAGGGAGGGGAGTGAGAAGGAAAAAAGGAAAGGAAAGGGAAAAAGGAAAGGGAAGGGGAAAGGAAGAAAATACTCAGTGCTTGCTAAAAACCAAGAACTGTGCAAAGTGCTGGGTATACCAACAGAAAAATGAGACAATCCTGTTTTCAGTGAGCTCACAGTCTAAACAGGAGGAAATAGCCCACATAGGAAGATGCAAATAGCAAGTCTGTCGTCATTAGGTCACAGTAGCAGGGCACCCTTAAGGTCCTCTAGTCCAGTTCCTTTGTTTTACAGATGAGAAGACTGCAGCCTAGAAAGGGTAAGTGCATCACCCACATAGTAAATGGCAGAGTGAGCATATGTCAATCTGTACACCCTAAAACCAGTGCTTTTAACTGCATGGCACCCTTTATTTCCTCAAGATATAAAAAGTTTAACAGCTTTCAGTGTCAAGATCAGGTTCAAAATCAAAGTAAAAGTTACTTGCTATCCTTTCAACATAAGAATGAAAACATTCAAAAAGCGAATCAAACATAAAACCTCTGCAGGACTTTTACCTACTTGGTAAAATGGTACCAATATAAAGATAGATGGGCACCACAGATATGAGGATTCAATTTGTACTGATAACAGACTGAAGTCTCATATGATGATCATGTCTAAACAAAACAGACACATGACTAATAATTATATTTCATGTTTATACAAAACTTTATAATTTTCCATATATATATTTTCATTTGATCCTTACAACAATCCTATAAGGTAGGCATGTTAAGAATTATCTCTTATTTTCTAGATGAAGAAACAGACTCAGAGAAGTTAAGACTTTCTGAAGGTAACACAGCTAGAACTAGAATCCTGGTCTACTGATTCCTAATCCATTCCTCTTTATACATATGTACTATTATAACTTTTAAAAATTATAGGTCTGGGGGGTAGGCAGCTAGGTGACGCAGTGGATAGAGCACCAGCCCTGGAGTCAGGAGGACCTGAGTTCAAATCCTGCCTCAGACACTTGACGCTTACCAGCTGAGAGACCCTGGGCAAGTCACTTAACCCCATTGCCTAGCCAAAAAATAGATATAGCTATAGATACATAGATCTTGGTCATGAAAGAAGTACAAATGGAGCACAAGTTTATTTTATGTTTTGTTTTGCTTTGGTGCAGACCTGCAATTTTATCAGTGTGGGGAACTCCAAGATATGAAAACTTCCTCCACTGATACAAATGGCAAATCCTGCATAAAACAGAGAGGCTTAGAGAGCCATCTGGAACAATGAGAAGCTTAGTGATGCACCCAAGATTCCACAGCCAGTATGTGTGAGGAGAAACAGGACTGGAACACAGATCTTCAGACTCCAAATCAGTACCCTCTACACTGCCAGACTAAGTATCACTAATAAGATGTGTGAGCTTTCCTGGAATATTTGCATTTTAATTGCAACTTTCGCAATTTTTTTGCAAATTTTGCCATTTTTAATTGGAACTTTCGAAGGCAACAGCATTATGGCCTAAACAACATTAGAATAGTGGAATCTCAGGTACCAGACAAGTTAATCCATAATATATCACAAGAGAAATATTTTGAAGGTATCTTGTCACATCAAGCAGGACTCTTCCTGCTTACAAACTTTATAATGAATTCTATTTTCTGAGAAGCAATGTTTGACCCTGATATATTAGTATTAAGATCTAGGAATAATTTCAATGTAATTTTAGACTTAGGAAAGATTAAGAAAAGCTGGAATGATTCTGCTTTTAATTTCTGGTCAAACATTCCAGGGCCCTTGAAGCAGATGACTTCCTCAGCAGGTGCCCTTGGGTATGGTATGGAGTTTCCTTAATGGTAGTCATCACTTCAAATTCACAGAGCAAACCTGTTCCCAGACCTCCATCAGCTTTCTTAGGGTATAAACTATCCTGCCTATGCCACATCCTGAGCTCAAATCAAGCAAAATCTTCCACGATCACTGCTCTGATACCTCTTGAGAGTTTTTATATTTAATTCAGCAAGGAAGGAGCAGATTGGAAAATAAAGTTTCAGTGAACTCTATTTCTTTTGGGTACTTTTTAAGGTGTTATTTTATATAATATTCTGGCTTCACAAACTTCTTAACTACGTGACTACAGGCAAGTCGCTTAACCTCTATTTACCTCAGTTTCCTCATCTGTAAAATGAGAGTAACAACTGCACCTACCTTCCAGGTTGTTGTGAGGATCAAATGGAATAATAATTGTAAAGTGCTTAGCACAGTACCTAACCCATACTAAGTACTGTGTTAGCTATCATCATCATTACTATTATTATTATTAGATCTATTACTCTTAAGGTACCCAAGTGTCCAACAACATTGCATGTAAACATTGCAGATAATGTTATATTATAAACTATTTTAAAATCTTACCATATGATATGTGCTTTTAAATATAAGCAATAGTTATCAACAAAGAAAATCTAGTATGAACTGAAAAAAGTCTCTTAACGTCAGTCAAAAGGTTCTGTTTCCAATAAGGAGAGGCAGACTAGAAATACAACATTATCTGAAGAGTATTATAGGCACAAAGTAGATTGGGATCTGGCTAAACAAGTTGGCACACATGAATAAAATGGAATATTATTCCTCTGTAAGAAACTAAGTACATAATGAATAATAAGAAGCAGGAAAAGACTTACATGAAATGATGCTAGATGAAGTAACTGGAGCCCAGAATGTGACCACAAAAATGTAAATAGGAATAGAAAATGAATATTGCAAAAATACAAAGAATAAGCCTGGCCCCCAAAAAGAGATATGAGAAAATACTCCCTCCCCTTCTTGTCAAAGGTGAGACATCTCAAAGTGTGAAACATCATATATAGTGGCATAGTTTTCAATGTATTGAATGATTTGTTGAATTTTTTTCTCTTCTTTTTCTTTCTTTTCTTTTTTAATTCTTTATTGTAAAGGATGACTCTTTGAGAGCAGGTCAGGGAAGAGTATTTGTATTCACTAAAACTTAATTTTCCAACCTGCTTGAAACAGGACAGTTGTAGGGGGAAATATAGGCAATGTAAAAACAATAATATCAACAAAAATCAGTTTTAAAAATTATACCCAAAGTTGGTGATAATGATAATAATCAGCTCGACAATAATAATATAGAGTTGGGGTAGCTAGATGGCTCAGGATAAAGCTCCGGCCTTGCAGTCAGGAGGACCTGAGTTCAAATCTGGCCTTAGACATTTGATGCTTACTAGCTGTGTGTCCCTGGGCAAGTCACTTAACCCCGACTGCCTCACCAACAAAAGCAAAATAATAATAATAATAATAATATAGAGTCAGCTTAATATAATGGGTAAAGCACTAGATTTGGAAACAGGAAGACCTGGGCTTTACATCCACCTCAGATTCTTACTGGTGGATAGCTTCCACTTTTTTACCTGTAAAACTGAGATAATACCATACAGCAGAGGGGTCAAACACAGACCGCTCCTCTCCCAATTGGCCCAAACCAGATTAAAATGAAATCAAAAAATATTTAACAAAATAAATAAAAACACAATAGAACATGGATTTTTTTTTCCTTTTATTTTCTCTTTTTTTTCCTTTTCTTCTTTTCTCAGACAATGTTACTATGTGGTTTTCTAAATCAATATGCAGCTGACAGGTATCCTTATATACAGTTTAGTGGCCCCATTTCTATTTGAGCTTGACACTACTGCCTGAGGGGTTTGCTAAGAAGATCTAATGAGATGATATATGTAGAATAGTTTGCAAACCTTAAAAAAAAGTCAGCTATTATTATTATTAGCTCATGTTTATGAAATACTTTCCCCACAATAATTGTGTTACTGCTATACTTATTTTACAGGTAAGAAAGCAGAGTCCAGTCACATATAATCCCACAAACCAGACTAGCTCACAAGACAAAAACAATGAATTCTACAACTATAAAAGCATATAGAATCATTTAGTGCTGGAAGGGACCTTAGATATTATCCATTCTGACCCCTTTATTATATGGGAGAGGTTGAGAGACTTCTCCAAGGTCACAGAGGCAACAACTGGCAAAACTGGGATGTGAATCCAGATGCCTTCACTCCACATACTTTGATCTTTACCCCATATTCTGTTACCTCCAGAGTTTAAACTCAAAAAGTACAAAATTAAGCCAGCTGGCAAACACCTTTCAAGATCTTCTTGCAGGCAACATAAACATCTTTCAACATCTGTCTTCTGTCAGCATAGTCATAAAATTATTTCTATTTGAAATGAGGCTCCTTTGGGAGAAGAGGGGAAGTAATCATCAATGACTGAGTTCAATTCAGTTCCTTCCCTTCCTGAATGCTGAAGAATCATCATTGTCTTTCTGGAAATACTGTATATAATGTGTCTCCCAAGAGTAAAATAGACTGCCACAGGAAGGATGATTAAATATTGTCAGTATCTACAAATTGACCAAGCCATGTTCAAGTGTGGTTAGAATTACCACCTACAAAATAATTTGATTATGTATAATCTAAGCAGAAAATAGAATGGCTTAGAATGTTTAACCAGGACAATAAAAAGTAAACCAAAGGGACAAGCCTGAGAATAGGAAAACTTCTAGGCTGGATTTCAGGAAACATTTCATAACAATGAAATCTATTAGACTGTGGAATCGCTTCCCTTAGGAAATGGTAAAAAGCCCCATTACTTCAGTCATTTAAAACTAGGCTAAACCAAACAGCAGGAACTATACTGACTTCAAGAAAAGTCTCCAGGGAAGAGACTGGATGACTTCAGCAGTCTCTTTCTGTATACATTCTGTGAATCAGAAAGTGAAGGACCACAAAATAGCTTGTGGCTTCACTGAAATATAAAATTGGTCCCTAAAAGAAAGATGATTGTACTGTGCTGCTGGACACAAGTAGCTTCAGCAGTAAAACTACAGGAGAAAAGTAAAAAAAAAAAAAAAAAAGTTGAAATTTTTCATTTTAGAGATAAGTAAACTCAAGGGATGCCTTATTTCTATTAAGGGGACCACCATCTCCATCTCCCCATGCAAACAGGTTCACAACTTCAAAGTCAGCAACACCTTCCTCTCCATCTTCCCCTCCCCCATTATCCAATCAGCTGCCAAATCTTATCATTCTACCTCTATGTCCTCTACTCTCCAGGGCAAGTCATGTCAAGTCAAGAAACATTTATTAAGGTCTTACTATAGGCCAAACATTGTGCTAAGTGCTGAGGATACAAATAAAAAGAAAAGCAGTCCCTGACCTCAAGGAGTATACACTTTGATGTAAGAAGGGTATCCTAAAGGTCTTACCACAGCAAAGTTTAAAACAGCACTAAGACTTTTGGGACACACTGTATTTTTCCACTCCAAGTCTAGGCATCTTTCAAGTACCTAACATTATGTTATTGTGAAGGTTGTGGAAAAGCATAAGGCATGGCCTCTGCCATTGCGGAGTCTGCAAACTCTGTGGGATGCCAAAAACAACCTTCTAAATGAAATAGTTAGACAACAGTTCAGTTCTAAACTGTGTGGTATTGACTGTGTCCCAGGAATCTAGGGAAGGGAGAAAACTATGTGGACATGAACAATTGGAGAAGGCTTCATGGAAAAGAATGGACTGAACTGGGCTGAGGAGAGAAAAGAGAATGTTACAGGCCCGGGAAATAGTATAAGCACCGATGCAATGGTAGGAATGAGCCTGGCATGTAAAAGTAACCAGTCTGATTAGAGTGAAGGGTGCTTGTTTATAAAAACATGGAGGTTGAATTACATGATTTTTATGGTCCCTTCCAATGCTAACATTCTGTGATTCTGTATTTATATGGTCCTTTCCAAAGTTTACATTCTGTATAGGGTGAAATCAGGTCAGATCACTAAAAGACAGGAAAGAATAATGGAGCACCATGAAAAACAGGAAGGAGAGTTTAGACTTGAACCAGTTGACAAGTAGGAGTCATTGTGTGTTGCTGAGCAGGGAAGTGACATTATGACAACAATATTACAGGAAAATTAGACTTACAGTGATATACAGGTCAGTTTGGACAGGAAAGAGCCAAGAGGGTGGAAATCCTGCTAGAAAGCTGTTTAAGTAATGGGCTAGGGCAGTGACAGTAGGAAGAGAAGTAAACCTCTGAAAAACAACAGGAATCACAAGAAATGAAAGGATTAGGCAAGAAGTTCCATACAGAAGATGAAGTATAGAGGCTCCAAGGTTACCAGAAAAGGAACGTGGGAAACAGATGGGATATTTGAGAAGGGGTGAAACGAAATCAGGTTAGGAAACATGGTAAAAAGGGTACTTTTTTTAGGAAACGTGGTAAAAAAGGGTAAAAATACAAGTATTTTTGGAAGACTCTATATATGACTCTGTACTTGTTAAGCAGGATGTGGGCGGGGGGGGTCGGGTGGAGAAGCAAAGCTTCAAATACCAAGTAGGAAAATAGGAGCATCTGACCCATGACCTTTTGTTATGCACATCCTATCTCACTGACAATAATGATACCATTTTTAGTAATTGGGAGTAGTACAAAGCTTTTCTCTAATATGGGCAAAAATCTGACTCCTCACCCCGAACTTGAACTTGCGTTGCATGAATTCAACATTCTTTTCTGTTTCTAAGCACCAAGACTGCCTGAAGCTTATTCCTTTTCTTTCAAAGGATAATATCCTGTTATAATTATATTTCACAAAAAGTGCCTTTGGCAGCAGCTTTCATGGCATTCTCTTCACATATATTTCATGATCACTGAAACATTTCCTGCTTTACCATTATCATTATGATTTTGTTAATTCCCTAAACTTGCTTTCCATCTAAGAAAGGCAAGCAATCTCTGGAGCTTTATAGCTAAATACTTACACATCATTGACCTTTCTTCTGCTCATCCCATAAAACACCTGCCTTCAAATAGTAACAATGAGCACAGTACATGGCATACGAATGAAAAAGACATTTTTAAGTACTTACTATGTGACACTGTGCTCCATACTAAGTACCATATGGTGGATGCTTAATAATTGTTGAAAGAATGACTGGATCTTTCATTGTCTTATAATAGAGGTAAATATAAATGGTTATAAGCTTTATAATCAGTTAGGAAAAGGAAAGAAACAAATTATGTGAGTTTGTGTGAACCATGTGACTCTAGTCAAAATCAAAACTTAAGCACTATGTCTCACCATTTTACAAGCATTCCTAAGAAGATACATCTCACTCACAAAAAAAAAAAAAATTAGTTGATCTCTCAATCTGCTCTTAATGAGGAAACATGCATGACTCAGGGAAAGCATTGGGAAAAAAATCAAACAAGGCAAGTACAACCTGTATATCGACCCATTGTATAAAGTTGATGGGAATAGGGACGTGATTTTTTTTTTCTTTTTGGCCCAGACCCATGATTTCACTGGCACTTCTGGTGAGGAAATTTCTTCTATCAATGAAGATACTCTTCTGCAACTTATAGTCTTAGAAATGTCTCAGAGATCAGGTGACTTGCCTAGGGTCACACAGCCAACATGCATCAGAAGCAGGATCAAATCCAGAGCATCCTGTCTCTAAACCTATCTCTCTTCTATGCACACTGCCTTTCAGGTGAATAATACATGTAACATAATAAGATATAACTGGAGCAATGCTTAACCATGAAATGTTGCTATATACTAGATTTTTCTACTCATGTCCTATACTACTGCCAAAATAGGAAATAACTAGCCTATAGGCTGCAAATATTACAATGTCATTTGCTAAGAGGAGCATCTGGAGAATCTTGACATTTACAGGGAATCCGTGTTCTATTTTAACTTCATGCAACAGTTCCTCCTTGCACTTCTCTCCTTTGTCCATGGTGAACCATGGGACAGGTAAAAATACAACATGGTCCTCAGTCCTGTGAAACCCCCTCTCCAATTTTTATTGACTTTGGCAAGATGGTGAAAAGGGGGACGAGGGAGAATGTGCTAAGAAGCTCACCATTTTAAAAACCATCTACAGACATTAACTCAAATGTGGATACTCATTATGAGATTTTCACCCAACCAATGAAGAGTTGCTACACTAGAGAAACTAAATTGTGTCCATATTCATCTTCTTACTATTAATGAAAGGAGAAAACAAAGAAGTTGAACTCAAATGGCATACTGGTTCTCACAAGTTCTTCTCAAAAAAGAAAATAAAGGAATTGGCATAGCTGGTTTTACTGTGTGTCGAAAGGCAACAAGAAAACATTTCATGGGATACTTGGTCACCTTTTCTCGTAGTGATTTCCAGAGGAAAGAACAAACTCTAATATTTGTTGCAGAGGGTGAAAGAGAGACATTTTCTGAACTCAAGATCCTCCAAACAAGTTAACATCTACCTTGATACTCAACAACTTCAATGTTACCATGGGTATGGAGAAAGATAACCAAAAAAATAAAATTTTACTGGAAAATAATGCTCACAATTAATAAACAAAAGACATGCCAAATTTCTAGATTACTAAGAAGCCACATTCCTATGTGTAATGAATACTTTTCTCAAAAAAAAAATAGTTAGAAAGCATTGGATGTCATGTATCAAACATCACTCCCCCAAAAAATAAAATTGGCTCTATATTTACCAGCTAGGAAAAACCTACTTAACAATACAGTAGTCATTACAGAATCACCTGGGTATGTGTAGTCTAGTTATATTGTGCAAAGGTCATATTCAACCTCACAACAGAAGAAAGATAAAGATGAGAAGGTAAAGCTGTCCGCAATTACAACAGCTCCAATCTAAATTACTTAAATAAGCTATTATCTTTGAAAAATAGGAAACAGATAAAAGTAAAGACATTGATTCAGATTACCACCGTGTCTTAGAGAAGCTTAACCAATATAATACAGTTTCCATATCAAGAAGTTGAAAGAACCTAGAAACTGTCTCAGCTGAGATGCAATCTGCTCTATCAGCCATAGCAGCCAAGCACAACACTGGTTTGGAATATAAGCGCATCTAGCTAACATTACAGAGGAAGAGGATGGGAAACTATGAGTAATATCACCTCACAGACCAGTGAAAAGCAGAAGACACAGCAAACCTGCAGAAAGCTTGGCATGATACTAAACCATATCACTCTAAAAAGCACTTACAGATGAAGCTGACAGGGCAACAAATAGACATAAAATAGAACAGATTTTCAATAATTTTTATTTCAGTCTACGTGGAAATGGTATTTTTGGATAAAGTTTGAGGAAAAGATAGACCTGGCCCAAGCAACTATTAAATAAGAAACCAAGGATGAAGCCAGCTTTTCCTCTATAATTCATGTATCCAACTAAATCTAATTGAATCAGCAATCAAAAAGACTGCAAGCAATACATACCATCATCTTTCTTTTTATCATGATTTTTTCCTCCCACTTACATGCACAGAGAAAGAAAGAGAGAGAGGGAGAGAGAGAGAAAGAAAATTAGAGAAAATGAGAATCTTACCATCTGGAGCATATTTTGAGGATATTCCTAAAATGACTGCAAGTGCAACAAAAAATGTAAAGCTGGAAACAGCAAAACAAATGAATGTATTTTTGTGCCTCTTCTGCTTTCGGTCTTCTCTCTGTGAGCGCTGCTCCTCAGCAGAGAATGCAAAGGTTGCCTGGGCTTCTTGTCTGACAGAGGTAAATTTGGCTGAAGCTTGGCTCTTTGGTGGGGGTGGTGGGCGCAATGGAACAACCCTTCCTGGAACATAACCTGAAGATCTATGGCTGTTCCCATTCTGAGGTTGTAGGAAAACAGGGGAGTTTCCCCTGGGATCAGTGGCATGCATGATACAATGTCACTGCAGAAGAAAAAAGAAAAATAAATTACAATTCAGCAAGTATTTGAAATCATTTACAGTATGAAAAAACAAAGCTTAGCTTAGATTACTGATATAAGACTGACTATATTTACTAGTAACTATAATACACTTTTAAAAATTTAAGGCTCATATGTCTCCGAATTTAAAAAACAAAATACTCAATAATATACTCATAAAAAGTCCCACAGTGAGGTAACCATGTAGCTGTATTCTTTGTTTCAGTATTTTTAAAAGTTAATAGTTCTGGCTAACTACAATTAAGTGTTTTTAAGGGTGTTATTGTCTCTCACTATTGTGAATCTTCCTTTACAGATGATATCTTCCACAATCTATTATAATTCCCCAAAGCTTAGATCATGGCATGAGGTAGGGGTGGGGGAAGGAGTATCAAAATATTATGACAGTAACTTAAACTAATTACAAATAAATTATCAAGAATGTAGTAAATGACTATGTCGAGGATATATTCATCTTCCCTTATTCTTCAGTACGAATGAACTCTACATTATTTGTTCCTCTATAATAGTTGAGATAAACAAAATAGTTCCTTTCCCTTCTTTTCCACTTTCAGTAAGTAGTTAAGAATATTTTAGGTGAAATTTTATTTTTAATGTATTAGCAACAAAAAAGAGTGAAATCTATCATATCCTTGTTACAGTGATTATTGATGAGATGATTATAGTGATTATAGATGAGATACCCTCAAGGCTTTAGCATAGGATTATTTGCAACTTGTTTATCTACTTCCTTGACTCTCTATTTCTCTCTTCTAAACCTCCAGGGCTGTGGCACAGCATGGGAGGCACCTGACTTCACCTCCTATCCTGACACCCAATCACTCTTCTCCATGACTGACTCCATAAACAATGAATGAGCTTTTGGTCCCAGGGCTCCTGTAACCAACTTGCTCTAAAGCAAACCAATTAAATAGGCTTAATAGAATCCCCAGGATTCAACCAATCTCATAACTAAAAAGTTATTGGATGGGAATGTAATTCCAGATTTGTTAATCTACCTGCTATGATATTCTGAGTCAGCACACTATCTCAAGAACACTTAGCTAATCACATATTTTAGGCTTCTAAACTGGAACATGAAATCTGACCAAAATTATTTAGATAATGGTAATCTTAATGGCAAGAGGAGAAGTTCTACAATTTAAGGTGTTTTTGCATACACAATTGCATATGCCAAGAAACAGAAGAATGAACAACATAATTCATTTGCCCTGTTGGAACAAACAAGAGATTAGAACAACAAAAGACCCTCTATGCTCCTCTACAAACAAAGGAAGGACAAACTAAAGATTCTTGAGTGCCAGGCCCATCAGGGTGGGACTGAAATAGTGACTGTAATCTTCTCTGAAAAGGAGTAGGGAACTTTTGTTTCGAAGGCCACAATAATCTAATACTTCATTATTTCAGGGTGAGAAAGGCTGTTATTACTGAACAGACTGGAGTACTCTTTGTTGGAGATAATATATGTCTCCAGATGTACAAACAATAAAGTAAAAGGCAGTGAAAGGAGAAATGGAGTCACCAAGCCACCGATGAATAAGTTTTGCCTTGCAACATCACCAAACAGCATCCTAATTGGAAAATTTCACTTGACAATTGTACCAACTAAAATATGCCTCTTTGTCTTTTCTGACACAACAGCATGTTGGTTCCTGCCCACAAGTCTTCTTCAACTCTTCCAAATGTTTTCCAAAAACTCCATCAATGCAGACCTAGACATGTGGCTGTATTCAAGAGCTTGAGATTTAAAACAATCAAACAGAGCTTGTTGTTGTTTTTAAGCCATTCCACAATGGAAAATGGTGTACAAAAGCATAATACGGTTTAAAAAAAAATCGGTATTCCTCCTAAATAACAAAGCCATCACTGAGACCACATCTTCCATATATTAAAATACCAATGACAGAAAAGGCATTATCAAACTTTTAAATAGATTTTTCTGAACCTACTAAGGCTTTAGATCTAAGATAATAAACCCCCTGGGTTGAGATCTAAGCCTAAATTTCCTGGAATGGAGACCTACTTGAAGTCAGTTACTGTATCTATTGACATTTAAATCTGCTAATTATCCTTCTAAATTCTATCTACTAGAATTGTGACATCTCATTCCTCAAATAAGCACTTAGAAATCAGAGAAACCTGGGAAGACCTACATGAGCTAATGAATCGTGAAATGAACAGAACCAGAACAATGTATAGGATGACTGAAATAATGTAAAGGAAAATAATTTAAGAAGACTACAGAAGAAGAACACAGGAACCAGTTGTGATTTTAGGAGGCTGATGAACTACACCTCTTGTTAGAAAGGTGACAGATTGGAGGTGTAGAATGAGATATACATTTTCAGACATAATGTGTTGATTTGTTTTGCTTGACTCTAAGGAGTCATAAAGATTCTAAAAATTAAAGAAAAAAATCAATAAAACACGAAAGGGTAGTTAGTTAGGTGGTGCCGTGGACAGAATGCCAGGCCTGGAGTCAGGAAGATTCATCTTCCTGGGTTCAAATCGGGCTTCAGTCATTTACTAGCTGTGTGACCCTGGGCAAGTCACTTAACCCTGTTGGCCTCAGTTTCCTCATCTGTAAAATGAGCTGAAGAAGGAAATGGCAAACCACTCCAGTATTTTTGCCAAGAAAACCTCAAATGGGGTGACGAAGAGTGCAGCAGGACTGAAAAGACTTGAATATTACAAACACTGAGAAATAAAGAGAACAAAAAGATCAAAGGGAGACACAAATAAAAGATCAATTGTGTTAGCACCTTGTTAATTTAATACGTACTCTTAAATAAAACCAAACAACTGAAAGTAACAGAAGGCCATGGGCTGATTTACAAAGCTTTTTTTGTTTTTTTCTCCTTTGCATATTGCAGTGCTTGTTGAGGATAATTAAGTCATAACAGGGATAGGGACAGAGACTGTACCTATGATTTCACTGCAGAGAGAATGCAAGCTGAGGAAACTCCCTTTTACCAATGCAGGTCTATACTTTTTCTGCAGCTTGTAGGTTTAGACTGTGGTCAGTCCTTAAGCACTTCAAGGTTAATTGACAGGTAGGATTTGAAACTAGGTCTTCTTAGTTCCCGGGCCAGTTCTGTATCCAGTACACCATGCAGCCTAAGTCCATCATAAGAAATTTCTTAAAAAAGACTTATAAGTACTTAGTGTGTTTATTATGTTATATAAATATTATGTCACATTCCCTACCCACACCTCATTGGATAAACTCCCAGTTGCTCCTTATCACTTAACCTACAGGATTCAATATAAAATCCTCTATTTGGGATTCAAAGCCCTTTACTACCTGGCCCCTTCCTACACCTTTTCCATCTTCTTGTACCTTACTCTCCTCTCCATCCTACTCCTTTGCAGAGGAACTGAAAGTCTCACTGAATTACAAAGCATATAGGGGTATATTCTGAAATCCAGTAAGATTGGCCTCCTTGAAGTTCCTAACACAAGACACTCATCTCCAGACTCCAGTCATTTTCACTGGCTGTTCACCATGCCTGAAATACTCTCCCCCTCCTCCTCTCTGCCTCACAGCTTATTTATAGTCCCAACTAAAATCTCATCTTCTACAAGAAGCCTTTCCCAATCTTCCTTTAAAGCTAGTGCCTTCCCTCTCTTTATTATTCTCAATTTTTCCTGTCTATATCCTGTTTGCATATGGTTGTTTTTCATGTTGTCTCCCCATTAGACATATTCTTTTTTTCCCATTATTTATTTTATTCTGAACTTAAGAAATAAAACAAGCATTTCCATAACATAGTAGAATTTAAAAAAGATTGTACATGAAACTGCCAATCTATTATGTAAAACTTGCTATTTCCTTTTAAATATATAATAAAGTTATCTCATAATTTTCTTTTTTTCACCGTTGTCTTAGGAGTAAGAGGCAAAACAACACAAAACAACCTGATATTCAATCACTTTAAAAAAAAAAAAACAGGGTTAGTCCTAAGGCCATCATTCAGACCAATCTGCACATGTTAAATTATATCACCATAACGGTTAGAGTTAAGCTTAAAACTGATGACCTTGAGTAATACAAGATTTGAGCAATATAAAATTTCTGAATCATCATAAACAATCCACTTATGCACTCTGTATTTCACTAATGTAGGTAGGGAAAGCACATTCAAACATTTTAGAAAGCTTTTCAAACTTGATTGAAACAAAGAATTTTTCTAGCTAATTCTGCTAATTGGCTTTCCAAAATTCAACTGAAACACTCTACTCCCAAACAATTACAATAAATCAAGTTTTTGCTAAGAGGTCATCTGAAAACAACTTGAAATAAAGACCATGCCTACACATACATGGAAATCCTTGAATGACTGAAAAATATACACATTCTTCATGTGCATAGTCAGAGACCCAACCATTCTACCATATTTACTTTTAATATTGACTTTTCACCTTTTATTTCTTCTCAAAATATTTTAAACCAAATAAAATGTTTACTCCAATTACTTTCATATATATGAACTATACTCAAAACATTTATAAAAGAGCATATTCCAACATTACACTTACAAATAACTGCAGAGGGTCACTTAAATACCTTGTTTAAATAAGCTAAACTTAAAAAAAGTGGAAAAAATTTTCCCTTGAGCAAGCATTTTAACTAGAGTAAACATCATTCATAGTGACTGATCAGGTTTGCTCTGCTAGAGAATTCAGTTTGTGGTTAGGCTATAACAGAAGGTACTAAACAAATACAATTGGGAAATATATATACCTTCTAAATATTCAGTCCCACAAAAGAAGTCAATATATTCCAAAATTATAATGTTTACTTAACTCAAGCATTTTGAAAAATGCACATGGTTCTAAATTCAATGAACACATTACATCAGTGGCAAATCTGTGAAACCATTCTTTCATACACAAAGCTTATTTGGGCTACCTATTCAACTATGACCTGTTAAATAGTCTTCAGTGATATCAGCAAGATTT